AAGAAGAGGGTTACTAAGCATCAGTTGAAGTCAGCATAAATCTCTGCTAGACTTATAGGTCAACAGTAGAACAATATAGGGTTGGGAGAGTGCATTCCAGGTAGAGCGTATGAGGCTCTGGGTCCCAGCCTCCCATGGTGTCCAGGCAACTAAAACAAAATGAGACAAATAGAGGAAGAGAGTAGAGAGTATTTGAAATGGAGTGAGGCAGCATAACAGGCTTAGTAGGGAAAATGGAATATAAAGATGATCAGAGATTATAGTTCACCGTTTTAGATGAGGTCCAAGGTATTCAGGTAGGCACTGTACAAGCTCAGAAGTGTCATAGTTGTAAGGAGCTTCAAATGATTTCATCCAGCTTCATCTTAGAGCCAAGGAAAGTGAAAGTCCTAGAGACAAGATCTGATAGGTAAGAAGACTCATAAGCAGAATTTGAACCCAGTTCCTGGAAAGGAGCTACTTTTTTTTTTTTTTTTCACACCTAAGCACTGAGATAAAGAGTGTCAGTGACAACCCCTCAAACTGCTGAGGATTCTTGTAGTTTATTGATATGAGAATCAGTAGGAGAGGAAAATCAATGAATGTTTAGATCCTGTTATGAAGAACACTGTTGCTTATTTGTTGAGAAAGAATTGTGAGCTTCTTAGGAAGAAAGTGTTATAAGAGATGTGAATCTATTTTATCATATAATAGTATACTGTCCTTTTATTTTCACCAGTAGATGTCATCCTTGTTTCTTATAGCAATGTAGTTGTATAGGTATGCATGCTAAATAAGAGGCAGTTTGCAAAAGAAATTCACAGTTTGCAAGAGGTTTGGTTAAGTGTGGGGTATATGTTAATATGTAGTCTACAGCTTTGAATTGAAAATATGATTTATTGAATATTCACAAATATTATTAAGCAAAACATCTTGTCATCTACCAATTTTCATATCAGTATTGGAATTTAATGTTCCACAGAATAGAATCTTAGGTGAATGTTCATTGTTACATTTGCTTCAGGTCCATAGTCCTATATTTGAGTACTTATGTACTTAAATTATTTTTATGTACTCAAATATTTGAGTAGCTTATATTAGAAAGTACTGACAAATTTGCCCTAATATCCTGTTTCTTTTTGCATTATTATATTGAAAGATTTGGATCTGAAAAGGTAGTTTCATTAAGGTTGATTTTAGGAGGGAATGGCAGAATTAGATAGATAGAATTGCCTACTTGATGAAAGAGATCAAATTATGAAAACTTTCTGCTTCTTGTAATGAATTCATAAGCTTGTTCAATAGTGTGACTTGACTGGTCAAAGAAAAATAATATGACATGATTTGTGTGAGATGTATCAGACATAAATCCTGTCATGGCAGTAGCATTTTTTTCTGTTTTTTTTTTTTTAATTTCCATTCTAAAATAACATAGAGATGGAGTTTCCTACAAATTGTAGTTTTGAAAGAAAGAATAATTATAGGCATAAAATTAGTTCAACAGTGCAATGAAATGTTACTCAAATAAGATTGCATAAATCAGCATTTATCAGTGTTTATCTCTAGAATTTCATGTAAATTGTTTCCTTTTATTCAATAAAAAATGTGATTTAAAATGTTTCTCACACCTATGTATTTTTTCGTGTGTGTGTGTGTGTGTGTGTGTGTGTATGTGTATGGAAGCAGCTAGGTCATGCAGTGGATACAGCACTGGCCCTGGCGTCAATTGTTGGTATTGTAATTACTTGCTTCTCTGGGGCGGAGGGGCAAGATTAGGTAAAAAAGTTTAGATTGCCACTATGTAATAAGTAATTACTATAGGCAAGCACTTCATTACATGTGCATCATTCACATATAAGAAAATAAATTCATCTTCTAGCTGTAAACTAAGGGAGCTAGGTAGTATAGTGGTACAGTACTGGGTCTGAAGTCAGGAAGACTTGAGTTCAAATCCTCTCTCAAGACACTAACTGAATGACTCTGGACAAGTCACTTAACTTCTGTTTGCTTTATTTTCCTCAGCTGTAAAACGGGGATAGTACCTACCTCATAGGACTGTGAGTATCAAATGAAAATAATATTTGTAAAGCATTTAGCACAGCACCAGATGCATAGTAGACAGTATTTCAGTGCTATCATTTTTTTTTCTCTTTCCTCATAAGGCCACCACCTTGGTTCAGGCCCTCATCACCTCTTACCTGGGCTAACATAAATTGCTAATAATAATAGCTAGCATTTATGTCGTGCTTTAAGTTTTACAAAGTGCTTCACAATTATTACCATGTTTCATACAACAAACTTAGTAGGTGCAGTTAGAGTTAAGCTTAGAGTCAGAGTTTAGGGTTAGAAACAGGAAGTATTTCCAGATGAACATCCTCCTAGTTTGTCTCCCTACCTCAGGTTTCTTCCCTCTTTCACATAGCTTCCAATGAATTTTCTTTTTTAAAATTTTTCTTTTTTTTTGTAAATTATGAACTTATTTTTTAAAATAAACATTTCAATATTCTAAGAACCAAATAAAGATTTTATCAGAAACTGTAAACTTCTGTTCCTTACAACTTTTCTTTTTTAAAGTTTATATTAAATTTAACAAAATAATAACAAAATTTCCTGTTTTGAGTGATTTTCCTGAAGCATAGGCTGCCATTGTCACTCTCGTTCTCAGTAAACTTCTTTGGGCCCTTATTATGTCTAGGATCAAATATATGCTCCTCTATTTCGTGTAGAAGACCTTCACAACCTGGCCCCAACCTACCTTTCCAACCTTACTATACATTATTCCCCTTTATGCATTCTACAGCTAAGCCAAACTGACCTTCTTAACACTGTTCTTCATACAGTGAAATTGATCTCTGTCTCCATACCTTTGTACTAATTGTTCCCCTTGTCTAGAATGCACACCCTCCTTCACAAATTTCTTCAGATCTCAGGTTCAAGTACCACCTTCTGCATCAAGGATTCTTAACCTTTTTTTGTGGCCTGAATCTCTCTTTGGCAGGTTGGTGAAGCCTCTGGACCCCTTCTTAGAATATTTGTTGTTTTTTTTTTTTTATATTTAGCTTTATTTTCAGTTCTGAATTCTCTCCCTTCTACCACCCATTGAGAAGGCAAGAAAAACAAAACTGTTACAAATATTTATAGTTAAGAAAAACACATTCTCACATTAGCCATATGCAAAAGAAGGAAAAGAAAAGGAAATGAAAAAATGCTTCATTCTGCACTGAGTCCCTCAGCTCTCTGAAAGTGGATAGCATATTTCGTCATGAGTTGTGGCTGGTCTTTGTGTTGTCGAAGAGTTTTTGAGTTTTTCAAAATTGCTTATTTTTATAATATTATTTATTCTGGTTCTGCTCACTTTACTTTGCTTCAATGTATATGTCTTTCTGAGTTTTTCTGAAACTATTTGCTTTATCATTTCTTACAGCACAATAGTGTTCCATTAACTTCATATACCATAACTGTTTCAGCCATTCTCCAATGGACACTCCTTCAGGTTCCAGCTCCTTGCCATCACAAAATTCTTTGTACATGTGATCCTTTCTCTCTTAGTTTGATCCCTTTGGGGTATAGACCTATTAGAAGTGTCACTTAGTCAAGGGATGTACATAGTTTAATAGCTTTTTGGGCATAACTCCCACCACAATTTCACCAACAGTGCATTAAAGTACTTATTTTCCCATATCCTCTCTAGGATTTGTAGCTTCCTCTTTTTGTCACCTTTGCCAGTCTGATGGTTGTAAGGTGGTTAGTACCACAAAATTGTTTTGATTTGCATTTCTCTAATTAGTGACTTAGAGCATTTTTTCATATGGATATTAACAGCTTGAATTTCTTCTCTGAAAACTGACTATTCATATCCTTTGACCATTTATCAGTTGAGTCATGGCTCTTAAAGAATAATGTTTTTAAATGTAAAATAAAACACATAGGATTGCAGAGGAAAATTTATTGTATTGAAATATAGTTATTATATTTTTTTAAAAGTTCACAGATTCCAGATTCAGAACTCTTGTTCTGTGTGAATCCTTGAATGAATTTTTTATTTTCTCACAGCTACTATTGCTTTCTCCCAAAATAGTTGTCTCCCTAGTTAGATTGTAAACTTCTCGAGGACAGAGACTATTTCACACCTGTTTCTTAGCACAGTTCCTTGCATATAGCATGCTCTTAATAAACTAGGGAGAATTTTGTAATTGTTCAAGGCATTACACAATTTTCTACATAAAATTTAGCTCATTTTGTTCCTTCTCTTCTGGGCCCAGCTTATGGTCTGCCTGCACATACTGATGTATTAGCTCTACAGACTGTGTATCTAAATACTATTCTTCATCTGGTTAATTTTTTTTCTTAGGATGAACACTTTTGAATAATTGTGAGGCTGTTTAAGAGAACTTGCAGTGTTCTGGGAATTGAAGCAATTAACGTAATATTATCTGCAAAAAAAAAAAAAAGAACATAGAGAGTTTTACTGTCCATAGCAAATCCCTCTTGCATTCGGTTTTTGTGCTCGACGTTGTCCTGCGAAGGACTGTGTGTGTGTGACTGACAGACCTACATGTCTTCTGTTCTAT